ATAATGACTGCATAACTTTACAAAAAAAATGTAACCTAATTTAAGTTTTGTGATAAAAAGGGGTGTATTCCTTCAAGTAGTGCTAGGCCTTTAGTTAGTTAATGCTCTGGGCAGTATTTTCATGTCATGATCTTTAGTGCGAGAAAAACTAGGAGTTTTTCAGTGTTTGTAAATGAGCTGTCACTAATTGTTGTTTAAACATGAATGATTTGATCTTTATAATCATTTCTATCAGTGTTAATATTAGTAGTTAGGTAACTAATATACATAGCAAACATGTGACAAGTCATTATGTTTGGAGGAGAGCCTGTACTGGCAGCAGATGTGTTAATCTGCCACATTACTCATGAGCAGAGCAGTTAAGTTGTTTTACTATCACGCCCAGCTGCACTCAGACAACTTCACAAATTTAGGCCAATTTACTGTATTTTTGGAGCAACTTTTTTTTTGGTTTTAAAACAAACAGCTAAAATGGGTTGTGCTATAAAAGCAGCTTTTTCAATTAAAAAAAACAGTTCTAATTTGGATGAAATTCCCAACATGTTTATGATGTCAATTTAAGAGATCTTTCTGCTCTGCTTTAAAGGATTGTTACTGTCATCTCTCTGTGATTGCAAAGGAATCTTCTTTAAATTAAAAGTTCTCGTTCAGAGAATTAATTGCAAACTTTAAATTCAGGAAATCGTTCTGTCACTTTGGATGAATACTGTATGAAGTTGGGAAAATCATTGTGAGAATTACATAATGTTTTCATCATTAAATCATTGGATTAAGGAAATCACTTCCACACATTTCCACCTCTGCAAAAGACATTTAGCTTCCATTTTWTTTTTTWAAATTTCCTGTGTTTTTAAGTTACCAGCCTGAGGGTTGCAGGGTCGCCTCTTGGACTCCCTGGACATGTGTGGGTTTTCTCCAGGTACTCGGGTTTCCTCCCACAGATCAAAAACATGCATGTTAGGCTAACTGATAACTCTAAATTGTCTCAAGACGTGAATGGTTGTTTGTCTTATGTGTCTTGTGATGGACTTGTCCCCCTCCTCCCACAAAGTGACTGCTGCAGATGGGCAACAGCTCCTCACGACCCAGAAGAGAAAAGCAGGTAAAGAAATTGGGCGAATAGATCTTATTAGCTTCTCAGTTGCCATGAAGAAAGAACCTGAATTGATTAATGTGTCACTGGTGTTTTAGGTCACTGGATGTGGGTTACATATTTCGTTCTCAGCCTCACACCGAATAAGAAGGTAAATACAGCTAAATCAATCTTTCAAGGGCACACCAGTTAAAATGTACTGGACTGCTTAGACAGCAGACTCTTGTCACTGTTTATTTTAAATGAAAAATTACTGAGTTCAAAATGATGACACATAAGTCAGAAACCATTCCAACCAGGCTTAATGATGTTTAAATGAATCCCTATTGTAAATGACAAATGATTAAAGGTCCTGTCAGTTTTCTGACATTAAAAAAATATAATCTAAAAACTTTTACTATATATTATGACTGCTGTCGGACTAACAGGCCTTACATGTCACATCACTTAGACCGGGGATGCTCATTGCGTAGCTATCCATGCTTTAATGTAACAGGTGACAACAATATGCCAGCACAGCCAAATAAAGATGGTTCCAAAACGGGGATTACTCTTGAACCTGACAATACTGGCTTTTGTTCTCAACAACTCGCTGCCGCAGCTTGACAGCAAACCGCACTGCTCAGCAACGGTGATTCTTCAAATTAGCTGCTAACCTGTCGTGCTAGCTGCTAGCGTGACATGTATCATGTCAAACGGAGCAATTTATAATAAAACAAAGGCAAAAAACAGATGTGAGAACTAGTGAGGATTAGGATTTTGAAGATGTAAACAAAAATCCACATGAATATGGAGAGAGGACAAGCATGTCAGTAACAGTTTCAAGTAAAAACACACACAAACACAAAAAAAACGCAAGTTTAGATGTATACAAGCTGAGCATAGAAAGTTCAAGACAAACAGACCGAAATTTTTTTAAAACTGCACATCCAGAATTCAATGGAAGTTATTCACATGGCAAGGAACTGCCCAGTTCATTGCTTCATTGTCCTCTAGAGCAGAATGTTTAACAAAGGCTTCTTATTTGAGACGGTGTGGATTTTGTAATGGGCAAAAAAAGCCTTTCTCTGTCTCAGAAATAGTAACAGATTGCTTTTTGGCTTCAGCAGAGATATTGTTCAGAAACCTTGACTACAAGGAAGCAATCCTAGAACAAATAAAAGGATTACAGCTGTCTGATTCAACAATTATGAGGCGGATGGAAGACATTGGAAAGGTCATCAGAGACCAGCTATTGACTGATCTGTGTGCAGCTCCATGTTTCAGCACAGCAATGGATGAAAGCACAGATGCCACTGATGTTGTACAGCTGCATGTTTGGGTGAAGTTCCCAAGGAAGACTGTTTTCTAGCAGAAATGCTGTGCTTAGTACCACTCTGTAGGATGGTATTTTTGGTGGAAAAACATCACATTTGGTTCTCCAAGAGATGATGTTAGTCATTTCTGGACTCTCTTGATGAACACTATCAGCTTCAGCTATCAGCTACCAAAGCTTTGGTTCATCTCACTAAAGTAAGAACTGTTGTGTTGGCTGTGTTTCTTTTTTGTTTGTAGGTGTATCATTTATTGTTTCCTTTATTTGCTTGAGTAACTTGGTATATTGCGACTCTCCCCTTGACTTTTACCTGCCAACGTGGCTGTTTAAAAAAAAAGAATTTAAATAAAATAGCGAGGAACACAGATTTAGATCTATAAGTAAAATAAGTTTTCTCTTGCATTAGTCCACGTTTTATTTCATTTTTTTGTAAATGTAATACGTTAATGTGAATGGGTTGGTATTTTATTTTTACTGTTGTCTTTTTTTTTGGCTAAATGTTGTTGCTGATACACCTTTTTGGATTGGAAATACTGGACGGCTCCATTATATTTTTATTGCATGTTGTATTGTGTATTTTTGTATTGTATAGCACTTTGTGAAGTTATTTCTAAGAAAAGTGCTTTATAAATAAAATTTTACTGACTTACTTTGTACTGAGCCTGAAAGAGACTGGACAGAAAACAC